TTAGGGTTTAGGGCCTAAAACCCTAAACCCTAAACCCTAAACCCTAAAACCCTAAACCCTAAACCCTAAAACCATAAAACCCTAAAACCCTAAAACCCTAAACCTAAACCCCATCCCCTAAAACCCTAAACCCTGGACCCTGAGTTTAGGGAATGGAAAAGGATGGAGCTTCTCGGAGCCTGGGAAAGCCCGCAGCTAAGGGCTGGGCACGGCGGAGATCTTCCTCGAGCTCCCGGATGTGTCCATCCTTGCCCTGAAGGGTGTCATAGGACTACAAGGGCTTAGGGTTTAGGGTTTAGGGTTTAGGGTTTAGGGGGGCGTTTTAAAAAGGGATTGACAAGGGCTTACTCAAGGCTTAACAAGGGTCCAACAATAAATAGCTGAGTAGGGGGCTTACCCAGGGTTGAGTTGAATCGGGGCTTGGTAAGGGATTCACCAGGCTATGGCTCACGGAGGGCTCAATGAGGGTTTGATGCGGGTCTTGGGACCAAGGTTCTTATGAACATACATTGTAGTTGGGGTTAATCATAGTCTGTAGGGTTTATAGGGTTGCGTAACCCTAAACCCTAAACCCTAAAAAGCTGAGACAATAGAACCGCCGGGATGATTAAAGGTCTAAGAGCTGCTGCTGCCGTTGCTAACTCCCAGTGCTCCCGCTCCTACGCCGACTCATAGTCCGCTACTACTACTACTACTACTACTACTACTACTACTACTACTACTGCTACTACCTGGACGACGACGGCGCCTCCGACTGCGACTGTGGCTGCGGCTGCGGCTGCGGCTACGACGACTATGACTGCGACTCCAACTAGGTAGGACCCTGCATTTTCCATATACTGCTGTCAGCATCACAAAGCCCAGCAAGCCCCAAGCAAAACAGAAACTGAACCCTGAATCCCAAATCACGCGACGTCAAAATACCCCCAGCCTCGATAACACGAAGCAGTTCCTGTCGTTGCACCTCTCTCTGGGCCATGCTTGCCTCCACCTGCAGTGGCTTATTTAGGAATGAGAGCTTGCGGGTTACCTTCCCGTTTAGCGGGACCAAAGCGTGAACAATAGTACCTTCGGCCACAGTTTTCATAGGAGAGTGCTTTGAGGGCTTTGGGGTTCATCAGCAGCAAAGATCCCAGAAGCTGCCTATGTGTACATATATACGTGCATGCCTGCCTATCTACCTACCTACCTACCTACCTACCTACCTACCTACCTACCTGCCGACCGAGACACACACACCCACCTGCCGACCGAGACACACATGTGTGTGTATATATATATATATACGTAGATACATAGTGGCACATTCGCATGAATCAAACACCTCTACTATGGTTGGGGGGGGTACGTATCTGCAGAAGGCTTCAAAGGTGTTTAAAAGCTCGTTGCAGGACCTAACTAAAGCTGTAAGGCCTGAGCCGGCACCAGAACCTCAAGCCCTCCAGTCTTGATAATGGTGCAAGTTTCCTTGACCCCTAAACCCTGTTTAAGGTTTAGGGCCGGTTCAGGGTTTCACAGAGAACAATGATTGCACTGCGAACCTTCACGATACGATCCCGCTGCTCGTTGAAGCTGTCCTGGACAGGAAAGAGGACCACATGCTCTAAGCCAACATGAGCAAGCCATGCAATGCAGCGCTACATGCCGACATTCCGAAACCCTAAACCCTAAACCCTAAACCCTAACCCTAAACCCTGAACCCCAAAACCCCTAAACCCCCCTAAACCTCAGCCCGAAACTCTAAGCCCCAAAACCCTAAACCCTAAACCTGGATTCCAAAGCCAAGACTTGAAACCTGATGTGGGGGAAGTGGGGGATTAATGTCGGGGCCTTGATAATTAGAATAAGGTTTTAGGGTTTAGGGTTTAGGGTTTAGGATTTAGGGGTTTAGGGGTTTAGGGTTTAGGGTTTAGGATTTAGGGTTTAGGGTTTAGGGTTTAGGGTCAAGAGAAGCATGGACAACTACTATATCATAAGATTCCTTAGGGCTCCTGATATTGCAATCCTTTGGGTTTAAGGGGTTAGGGACCAGAGAAACCTCAACGCCCTAAGGGGCTGTTAAAGATCAAGCCCGAAGCCCTGAACAAATCAGTAGCTTGTCTTTGATACCGGTGTCTCCGGAACACTGCAAATAAACACTAAGCAGGGCTTCTTGCGGATTTGGGTTTTGAGGTTTAGGGTTTAGGGTTTAGGGTTTACTTACCAGGCTTCCAGGATATAAACCCCTACCCCATATCCCAGGTTCCAGAACCCCAACTCGAAGGCCGCGCCAGTCCTGGATGGACCTTCTCGCCGCCATGGTTCTCAAGTACCTGATGGAAGAGACCCACGTGGGGGTTTCCAAAAATAGGGGACCCTAATATAGTACCCTAAATAATAGGTTCCTTATTTTAAGGACCCCAAAATAAGGTACCCTAGTTTTCGGAAAGTCCCGCCTATAGCTAAAATCAACCAACCAAGCCAAACCCAAGCCCCAGGCTCCCAATACTGACAAAAACACTGAAGCCCTGAGCTCTACACCCTAAACCCTATACCCTAAACCCTAAACTCTGAATCTACTGTAAGTCTTGAAATAGAAATCTCCAAAGACCCCTCCGGCACATCGTCTCCACCTTCTGCAGCTCCACCTCTTCAGTGAAACGAAGGCGGACCCCTCAACCCTAAACCATACACCCTAAACCTGCACCAAACTCTCAACCCCTTTTCCCACTGGGGCTCAAGTCTGGCCAGTCTTCAGCCCCAATCAATCCTCCCCAGAAAGCCCAATACTCCTAAATCAAGGCATATACCCTAAATTGATGGGGCCGCTGCATTATGAGTTAAGGTCTATTCCTTAGTTAAGGTGTATTGGGCTCTCTGGGTCTGGGTATACACAAGTTTCAGGTTGGGCGGAGAGCTGGGTCCAGGTAGGGTGTTGTTTAAGGGGCTTGTTTTTTGGGGGTTTAGGTTCAGGAGCTTGTAGGTTCAGGGTTCTAGGGTTTGGGGTTTAGGAGTTTAGGGCTTAGGCTTAAGGCTTTAGCTTAGGGTTTTGTTTAAGGTTTTACCTAGGAAGCCCAGTACTCCTTAATGCAGGAATACGAAAGGGGTATTGGGCTCTCTGGGTATAGCGTTCAAGGTTCAGGCGTTCAGGGTTTGTGGTGGGAGCTGGTTCTGGGAGTTGGCTTGAAACTTGAAGTTCAGAACTTCTTTCTGGGCTACCATTATAAGGAAATCCTTTGAAATCCTGTTATTGACTATAGATCCCTACTATGGCAATGTAAACAAAGTTCCTAAACAGAAATTCAGAATTGCTTTAGCATACTTTTGCCAGTCTTGCGCATCTGACCCGAAAGCCTGAAGCTCAACCGCCTGAACAGCTGCAGCATACAGCAGCCTTCGATACCCTGGTCTATAGGGCCCTCACAAACTATAGAACAAGGTTTGGATGGGTATATTACGCCGACCACTATGCCATGTGTATATTAAGGACTAGCATGGAATGATGTGGAATAGAAGTCCAATTACTTGGGGCCGTTATAGAAATATGGTACACTCCTTGTTCTGGAGCAACGCAAGATTTTCTCCAACTAACCATAGCAAGATAACTTAGACACTAGAACCACGCATCCAGCACTGCAGGGTCCCTAACTCCAAGGGTCCATGTGCCGAAATGGTAGATACTGTAAGTGTTAACGTAGACCCTGTGTATATGTACTCTGGGGCCTATACTATTTGGGCACTTGGACCCTTAAAGCTACTGAAGAAACCAGACTAATTGCCCGAGTACGAATCGTTTGGCAGTCCTTATTATCATGTACCTGAACCCTAAGGAATACCATTATAAACTAATTATTGGGGGTTCCACGTTGGCCTCTTGGGGGTCTCTGCGCCAACCTCTGCAAACCCTAAATCCTTCTAACCCTAAACCCCTCAACCCTATCAGGCCTAACCCCTAAACCCTATAAACCCTAAACCATAAACCCTAAAGCCTAAAGCCTACAGCCTAAACCCTGAACCCTATCAACCCTAAACCCTAAAGCCCCAAAGCCCTGAAGCCCTACTTACCCTAAACACTACTAATCCGACCAGCCTCCTTCACGGTGTTCTTCTCCTTTTCTACCTGAAGCTGCCTGGCAGAGCGCAACTTCCGGAAATGAGCCAAAATCTTCTTGTGGTTTAAGGCCTGGGTTTAGGGCTTACAGCCTTTAGGGTTGTAGAGTTTCGGGTGTAGGGCTTAGGGCTTTTCGGGCTTGAGGGTTCAGGGTTTCGGGCTGAGGTTGCCATGTTAAACGGTTAAACGGGTTTGGGATTCGTGGTTCCATACAACCTGGCTGTTCCGCCTGGTATCAGGTCCCTTCCCGATCTTTGTCCTCTAAACCTATAAACCCTAAACCCTGAACATTCAACGAAGGCCGGCCATTCGTTGAATATGGCTTTTCTTGGTGGGAAATTGCGATTTCTTCGTCGACTTTGGTGAAAAAGCACCGGCAGACCCATATGCAACGAATGAACTAAGCTTGAAAAGCATATGACACAGAGTGTTTAGAGCTGCGGAGGTTAGGGCTTTAGGGTCTTACGGTAGAAAATCTACAAATGTAAACCCTAAATCCTTTTAAGGAACCCTACAACCCTAAACCCTAAACCCTTTAAAAGAACCCTGAAACCTTAAACTTTAAACGCTGTTAAGGAACCCTACGACCCTAAACCCTTTCAGGAACCCTGCAACCTTAAACCCTAAACCCTGTACAGGAACCCTGAAACCTTAAACCCTAAACGCTTTAAAGGAACCCTGAAACCCTAAACACTAAACCCTTTTAAGGAACCCTACAACCCTAAACCCTAAACCCTTTAATCGAACCCTGAAACCTTAAACCCTAAGCCCTTTTAAGGAACCCTGAAAATTCGAAACCCTAAACCCTTTAATCGAACCCTGAAACCTTAAACCCAAAGCCCTTTAAAGGAACCCTGAAACCCTAAACCCTAAACGCTTTTAAGGAACCCTGAAAACTCGAAACCCTAAACCCTATTAAGGAACCCTGAAACCTTAAACCCTAAGCCCTTTTAAGGAACCCTGAAAACTCGATTCTAGAGATTTTCATCTGCACGACCCGAACCGCTAGCCGGGAAGACCTTCGAAGACTCCACTTACATACAACATTACCTATACCGTGGCGTCTAAAGTGCATGGCTAGGGTTTAGGGTTTAAGGTTTGGGGTTTAGGTTTTAGGGTTTAGGGTTTAGGGTTTTAGGGTTTAGGGTTTAGGGTTTAGGTTTAGGGCTTAGGTAGATAATATCGTGGCGGGTCTAAAGTTCATCAATACTGCCCCCTCCATTGGGCACTTGGAGCGTCAGGGAATGGATGTTTTGCATTGCTGCAGCAGCGTCCGAAAGTGAGTGAAAGGCTCGTTGCTGCCACATGGACCTGACGGAATCTGCCCAATCATCTGCTTAACTGTCAGATGCATGCCATACAATGACAACCTGCCTGCGCCGGCCAGCAGGAGGTCAATTTCTAGTCAGATGGAACAATGCTGAACTCCAACTTCCGATCTGCAGTGAAAGGTCACTTCAGAAGGGGCATCTGCAAAATGCCGTGGATGTTGAACAAAACCTTCTCAAGCTCACCCTCCAAGACTTCCAGCTTAAAGTACTTGACAAGGCTGGGAGGTCGCTTGCAAGCCAGGAAAGCGCTAGCTTCGATGGCCTTCTTGTGGGACTGATAGGCGAGGTGCCAGGTCACACCGTCTGCGGAGCACCAGATCCGCAAAGATGTTGCGGCCGACACCCCACCGAGCGCGAAGGAGAAGCCTTGAAGATGAACCCAAGAATGGGGCAGAAGCCACTGCACCCACCCCTCTGCAAGGCTGTTCAATGCGCAGCCGGTCCCCAGGCCTTCGAGCTGGTCCCTGGTGTAGGCATCGCCCTGCCCAGGCCCCAGAATCACCGACACCCAATAGCCAAGAAAAACACCCTTCTTCCCAGCCGTCTCGTACTTTTCCCAGAGTCTGAACAGCACGTCCTCCGTGGGCTCACTACTTACTCGGGTGTTGATGATCGACTCCAGACCGTCGCAGTCTCTCTCCCCCCAGCTCCGGAGCATCTGCTTGAGATCATCTGCTGCTATGCACAGTAAACCCGATCCCAGGATCTCTGCCAGGAGCTCTGGCCGGAGAGCTGGCCGCTTCTTCAAAGCCTGTGCAGGCTCGATGAAGATGAGATCCCGAGCCTCTGCTCGCAAGTCGTACATGTGAAAACGGTCTGCGGCGGCGAAGATCTCACATGCCAGCTCAGGTTTCAGTGCTTGCCGAATAAGGGGTAGACACAAAGACTGCAATGCATCCACCTGATATTTGTCTGCCATTGCAGCCACCTCCACCATTGCCGTGATGGAGCCCTCAACGCTCCCTGAGTACATGAAGAGCAGAAAGGTCTCAACAGCACTAGCCGAGAAGTCTTGGATGATGACCTCCGCTCTCTGTGACTCGGCATAGTTGTCCGAGCCGACCATCTTCTCAAAGACGGGAGACCACTGGGCAAGCAGAAAAGACCACACCTTGAACTCCGTGCGCTTCGCCGCTGTCTGACCTTGAGTATCCTTGGAAGCTTCGCCCGAGGGCTCTTCAACGACGACCGTGAAGTTGCCGTCCTTGTTGAAGCAGGCCGTCAACACATCAGATAGAGCAGACCTTACTTCTCAAATATGGCACAGAAAAAAGTAAAACGCTCGGGTTACTACTAAATTTACCAAATTATAGGAAACCCAAAAATTCAAAGGTTGGGTATTGGAGAGCTGGCAGACAGAGCTTTGTCTGCAACCGTCTCCCCTGGCTCCCGTTTCCGCTTGGACATGTTGCCAAAAAGGGGATGCCGCTGTCCTACTGCACGGACTACCAATACGACACATTCAGCTCCAAACCCCGGGTTTAGGGGTTTGAGGTTTAGGGTTTAGCTTGTCAAACACGCTGGGAGGAGATTTGTGTATCACCAAGATGACTTTTAGATGTGGACACACAGCTGGGTTGTAGTTTTGGTTGAAAAGTGTTTATGAACACATACCTCTATAGAAACCATAAGAGAAGTTTTACAGCTTCACAAAACGCCACCTCTACACCTGCTGAGCCAAGAGCTGCGTGCTGCGGCACTGGGGAAGTGGTGATAATTCACGGTTCCGGGCTTTGACAAAGTCCAGGTTCAGGCTTTGTAGGGTTTGGGCTACATGAAATTAGATGGTTCTAAGACTCAAGACCTAGGTTTAGGCTATATGAAATTACATGGTTTAAGACTCAAAACTTAGGTTTAGGGCTCTGGGTTGATGCTTAGGCCTTGGTCGCATGCTTTTCACCGAAACCCTAAATCCTAAACCAAAGCCAAAACCTTAAACCCTAAACCTGACACACTACACACAGACTGGCGACTGGTACCTTTTCCTCCCTCGCGTGCTTACACACTCGAGCTCTGCGCTTCCCACATGCCAAGCGCTCCGTCGGTTGCTGCCTCGGCGGTCGCGGGTTTCATATAGGGGCCTTGCTAAGTGCTCCATCAGATTTTTTGGTGCATTTAAATGTGGAAAGGTGAAGCCAGGCTTTGCTACTATAGTGGTAACACTCACCATTGGTCCTAAGGAGCCGTTGTTTTGAGCTCCCAGGACCCACTAAATCCCTACCTCAGATCCAAGCGCGTATCCAACCACTAGGCATTAAGGGGAACACAAACCTTTCAGAAGCTCTAAATCTCGACTGTTCGGGTCGTTTAGGGGCTCAGGGCCCAAGAAGGGGTCTAGAGTTGACATTCAAGGCTTTGGGCTTAGGGTTTAGGGTTTAGGGCTTAGGGCCCAAACAAAAACCCTAATCCCTCTGTAAGGTTAAATGGGGTTTAGGGCTCATGAAGCCTCGGGTTTAGGGCTTGGGGTTAAAAAAACCCCTAACCCCCTGTAAGGTTTAGGCTTTAGTGCTCCGAGGGCTTACAGGGTTTAGAGCCGCAGGGTTTGAAGGTTGTAACTAAATCCTGAACCCTAAACCTTGAACCCTAAACCCTAAACCCTTGTAACTCTAGAGTGCCCATAGAGATAACCACTAACGGAATCAGGCCCCGCAAGACCATCCCTACTATGGCTTTTGTGGCTGAATTCCATAAGAAATAGTAGCCGATATGGACCCTAAAACCTAAACCCTCTTTAAAAAACAAACTTTAAGTGCTTGGCTCAGGACTTGGGCTGCCGCCCGACAGTCTTGGGTGTCGGTTTAAGGTGTATAGGGCGGTATAGGGTCGAGGATTTAGGGTTTAGGGTTTAGGGTTTATAGGGCTTGGGTTTAGGCCTTGTTGCTGCATTTCGGTTCAGGGTTCATGGGTTTAGGGTTACGGTTTCCTTCCTCAACCGAAAGCCCCCAAACTGCCGACAAATGCATCTGGCAGACTTCTGGACAACGTGCTCTTGGCCTCGGGGCCCTCAGGCAGTTTTGAAGAGCTCCATGGAGAACCAACTCCAATACCTTGGGTCGAGCAGGGATAGGGACGACAGGGGTTCCTTTTAGGGTTTAGGGTTTAGGGTTTAGGGTTTAGGGTTTAGGGTTTCAATGCAGGTGGTTCGCAAGGTTGCAGGAGTTCGTCACGGAGTTTTGGAAGGCTATCCATAGTCTCTCGTGTAGTTCAGTGTTGCTCGACACCTTTGTTCTTTGTTCTTGCATCCTAATCTAACCCCTTAGGCGGTTCAACCAAAACAGGAGTTACGTCGGAGACTTCTGGATGTCCAGGCGCGTGATTTCAGGCTTGAAGGCCGTGAGGGAGCAAGCCCCAAAGCTGCGATCACGTTGTTTAGTGAGAGCTTGGGTTCAACCTAATCTGGAGCCTCCACAGTTAGAAAGGCGTCTGGGGTATATTATCCTATATAGGGACTATAAGCAGACATCATTACTCAGACCACCGGGAGGATCCAAACAATACATCCCTTAAGGGTGTTCCTATAAGGTACCCTTTAGTAGTTAGGGTCGCAAATTAGGGGATCAACGTTTTGGATCCTCCCGGGGGTCTGGGTACTCATGTTTCCGACCCCATCCCGGTGAAGAAATGTCTATGAACCCCAAACCCTAAACCCCTAAACCCCTAAACCCTAAACCCTAAACTCTCCGCAGCCTGTAGATACCAAAGGCCGGCAAAAGCGCCAGCGGCACCTGCGACTGTACATCTTCGCCGAAAACCACCTGCAGGCGACGTCCGGTCGTGGAGGGTTCAGGGCTTAGGGTTTAGGGGTTGGGTCTCGTAATTTCGGAATGTAGGATCCTTATGTAAAGGAGCCCTTTCATGTACTGCTGAAGAAAGGGCTTCTAAGACTTAGTGGTATGAAATATAGGGGGTTTGAACATGACAAATGACACGCGATTCTGGGATGTGTTTATGGTTTAGGGACTACACGGGCAGGCTATTGCGAATTCATGTTTTTCTGTGTGGATCTCTCCAGAGAGCCCAGTTACCATATAGTTACTGGGCTTTAGGCTTATACAGCCTTTCAGGCACAGTAGCCCACTATGTAGGTTCCTCCTAATCCCTAGACCCCAGGGCTCTACAGAACCATTAGCCTGGGCCACGATCGCGCACCAGGCTGCGATGGCGGCAACGACGAGAAACGCGCCAAAGACCTGGGCTTGGGGTTTGGGGTTCAGTCAAGCCATGAATGTGCTTGCCGCGGGAGGGTGCTTGAAGAAAAGCTACAAGAATCCAGTTTCGGGGCCAAGGCTCATGGTGCAAAGTGTGGTCTTGAACCCTAAACCCTAAACCCCTAAACCTTAAACCCCTAACCCTAAACCCTAAACCTAAACCCTAAAGTATAGGAGCCCAGCATCCAAGGTCCTCTCGGGCTTGTTGCACCCCGTAAATTAGAAACTCCCTAGCAATGAGGGGTAACAGTCTCCAGTGGCGTTAGTTCATGTTGCTACTTAGAGGCCCAGGGGACTTAGTAAGTCGGTTATAAGTAGGGTTATAGTTGGAGTAACTCCATTTAGGGCACTTATAACTCTACTTATAACCTACTTACTAAGTCCCCTGGGCCTCCAAGTACAATATATCCCAACGCCTGTTCTGAATTTCCCTAAACCATAAACGCTGAGCCCTACACTTAAGCCCGAAGCCCCAACTAAAACCTAAGGACTCAACGCAGTACTCCAACCTGTCATGAACCCTAAACCCTTCACCCGATAACCTAAATCCCTGAACCTGAACCGTATGCCACCTATAACCTGGAAGCCCTAAGCCCTGTAAACTACCCAAACCCTATGAGCCTCCCGTAAACCCTTTAACCTCTAGAACCCTTTAAAACCCTGTAAACCCCATAAACTAAACCCCAAACCCAACCCCTAAACCCCTAAACCCCTAAACCCTATAACCCCTAACCCCTAAATAAACCCTAAAGCCCTAAACCCCTAACCCCCTAAACCCCTAAACCCTAAACCCTAAATCCCCTGAACACCATAAATCCTCATTCAGTCGAGGTCGCCGGCCGCCTCGCTGGCGACGGCGCGAAGTCCGCGCCCACGGCTGCCGCGACCAAGGCCGCGGGTGCGGCCGCAGGAGGAGAGGAAGCCATTTGGGTTTAATATAGGAGCCTTAATAATTAGACTAGGGTTCCTTTAATGGGATCCTTAAAGGGTTCTATATGGGCTACTATATGGGTTATATTATAAGACAGGGGCCTTAATAATTAGAATAGATTTGGGGACCATTATACTATAATTAAAATAAGGAACCCCCAAAATAGCATAGGTAATTTTATTTAGGCCCCCATATTAGGGGTCTTGGGGTCGGGGGAATTAGGGTTTTGGAGTTTTGGGGTTTGGAGTTCAGGACTTTGGGGTCTGGCGATTGGGGTTTAAAGTCCAAGTTAAACTGAGGGCAGATTTTCTTAGAGGCCAGACGCTTGCCTTACAGCTGCAACTGCGGCAACCTGCTGTCTGAATAGCCTGCATGCGCCTTGAAAGTAAATGGCAGCATGTCGATGTCAACCAACACACTACGAAGCTCCAAACCTACCTTCGACTATAGACCCTGAACCCTAAACCCTAAACCCCAAACCCTAAACCCTAAACCCTTAACCCCTAAACCCCAATCCCTTCATTGTTGCAGATTACGGGGCAAAGGGCTATCTGCAGGATAAGCCGCTAAACCCATCCCTTCAGCCTCAAACCCCTAAGTGGTGCTACAGTGTGGAACTGCAGCTCTATACATTCTGAAATCCTCAGGCTTAGCGTTGAGGGTTTAGGTGTTGGGGTTTAGGGTTTAGGGTTTAGGGTTCAAGCCCCTGAATCTGGACCCTGAACCCCTGATAATAGAACTCTTGTAAGAATCCTTGCCTTACAGACCCCTTGAAGGTTCTGCTCCTACCTGGAGGCCCTAAGTCGGTTATAGGTAGGGGTATAATTGTGGTAACTCCATTTAGGGTACTTACAACTGTACTTATAACCTACTTACTAAGTCCCCTGACCCTTAACCCCTAAACCCTAAACCCTAAACCCTAAACCCCTAAACCCCTAAACCCTAAACCCTGAACCCTAAACCCCTAAACCCACTTACTAACTCCCCTGGGCCTCTAAGTATCTTCTACAACCTGGCGGGTGCCTCTTCGCCTTCTCCAGGTCCTTGCCGATCTTGTCCCTGTCTTCCAGCACCCGCTCGGTCTCTTGTACCTGTTCTTAACGGTTTAGGGTTTAGGGTTTAGGGTTTAGGGTTCAGGATGCACTTGGAGGCCCAGCTGACTTAGAAAGCAGGTGATAAGTAGAGTTATACAAGTACCCTAAATGGAGTTACTCCAATTATAACCCTACCTATAGCCTATAACCGACTTACTAAGTCCCCTGGGCCTCTAAGCAGGGTTTGGGGGGTTAGGGTTTAATTAGGGTTCACGGTTCGGGGCTCATGTGGATGCCATGTTGACGGGTTTCGGGTGCAGGGTTTCAGGTCCAAGACGGGTTGTACATGGTGCACAGTGCGCAAAGGTTGGCTAGAATCTAGGCTAGGCTTTGAGTTGCTTGTACCTCTTGCTTGACATAAGGGATCTTTAGAGGGTCGAAAATGTAGAACATGATCTTCAGGGCGCTTTATGGTGTCAAAGTGGTGCCCAACCGGCTCTTGTGAGGGACTTTATGGCCCTCCGTAGTTGACCTTACATCCCAAGTCCTGAATCGCCCTGAAGACCTCCTACTCCCACCAGCTGGCCGGCTCAGCTGCATGGGTACGGTGATACGGCTGATGATGTAAATCTTGCATTACCCTAAGGACCCTAAACTATGGGAATTATGGTATCTTCCTTATTATGGGTAATGCAGGATTGTTATCATCAACCGTAGGAGACTTAACTGGGAATATACCTGTAGCTATCTTGCGTAGAACCTCTACAGACTTGTACCTACGCATGAACCTTTCAGAATGCCCCAATCCCTTATGAAAGCCTCATCCTTGTAGAAGCTAGTGAGCCCTTGCAGCCTTGCAGCACAGAAGCTCATATATTAGGACCTAAACTTTAAACGATCGGCTTGGGGGAACAAACATTGAAGTACTTAGTCAATACTAAGACCGCCCCCAAAACCCCGCCATCCCCCTACACTTCTACAAAAACACTGCGAAGCCGGTAAAACCAGAGGTAATAACAAGGAACATACCTAAAACGGCCACAAAGCCATCTAAAACCCTATTAGACTCAACCTCCCCTAAAACAGAAACTGAAAGCACTACAAAGCCAGGTAAAACCATATTTTCAGGCCAGGGCCCTCAACCCTTGGGTTTAGGGTTTAGGGTCTAGGGGTTTAGGGTAAATCCTAAACCCTGAAGGCTAAACCCGAGCCAGTTTAGGGTTTAGGGTTTAGGGTTTAGGGTTTAGGGTTGCCAACCCCCCAAACCAGGAGCGGGCTTGCCTGCTTTCGGAAAACGCTGGACAACAGCAGCGAATCCTTCGTCAGCCGCTGCGTGGCCTGTGACTAGGGCTTAGGGCGTTGGGGGTTTAGGGTTCAATGAGGGTCTAGGGTCTAGAGTTGAGGATTTAGGGTTTAGGCTTTGCGAATTTATGACGCTTAGGGCTCCTAGGATTTAGGGCTTCGGATGGTGGAGTTAGATCCAAGGCTTCGGATGCAGGTCTTGCGGTTTTAGGCTTCAGAGTCATACGCCCTTGCTGACCAATCGAAAACCCGAAACCCGACACTCCCCAAACCCTAAACCCGAACTCCTAAAGCCTGAAACCCCCCAAAACCCGAAACCAGAAAATATGAAGCTTCGGTTCTCGGGTTTCGGTTTACGGTTGCCAGTAAAAGCCTTGGACTTGGTGCAGGTTTAGGGATTAGAGGATTCATCTTAACCCACCCTAAACCCTAAACCCTAAACCGGGAAGCATAGGGTAAGGTTTAGCATTTAGGGTGGACCTTAATCATGGACTCTGGCTTCTGCTTTCTCTGGGTAGAGTCTTGGAAGAAATTGAACCTGGTGGCATTTTTGCTACACGATTTCTGCATGGACCCCAACAGAGCCCCGATTGTAAGAACCCCCCATCTGCTGAACCAAAAACTCTACTTAGTCCCCAACACACAAGCCCAGGTCTAAAACCTTCATGCCTTCATAAACTCAATACCCTAAACCCCCCCCTGCAAAGGTTCGCTTTCCCCACGAGTCCGCCCAGATAGTAGGATTTCAGATGGCCAAAGCCATTCAGAGAATATCAACTACAGGGACCTAAACCCTATTGCTCAGATCTTCCAACGTCCGAGCCCCAACATGGCTCAAGGAGTAACTATTCAGGGTATGTTGGAAGATCTGGGTATAGCCCTAAACTCCTCAACCCAAGACTCTACGTCCCAGACGCCTAAACCCTAAACCGTGAACAATCTTAAACCCCGATTGAACCCGTACAGAATCCTTAAACCCCTAAACCCCAAAACCCTAAACCCCCAAAACCTTGGGCCCGTAGGGTTTGAACCTCCATGGATCGGTCCACAAGCGCGCGCATCTTCTCGATCCTCACAGTTACACCCGAAGGCTCTGAGGACTCATATTTTAAGGGTTTTTGGAGCAAAGACCCTACTAGTTCACGGCTTTTGGGCTTTGGCGGTTTGGGGTTTGGGGGCTTGGGTTTGGAGGTTTGGGGGTTTAGGGTTTAAGTTGTAGGGTTTTGGGGTTCGGGGCCTTAGAGCTTTAGGAGTTTTGGGGTTGCAGGGTGTTTTTAGTTTCTAGGGTTTTAGGAGTTTTCACGCTCTAGGGGTATAGGGCTTAGGTTTTTAGTCATAGGTGCAGGCTGTGGACATCGACTTCCAAGGCACTGGTTGCCGGAATACGCCCAGGTAGCGATGAAGAAGGAGATGACTGAAAAGAAAGAGACTTTCCCATCTCCGTACCTGTAGGCTCATACTCTACCCCTTTTAAGGGTATCTGCTTTCCTATATCACAGATCCTAACCATAAAACTAGGTACCATAAAAAAAAGTAGGGCATGGGCCTCTAGGTAAAGTTCCCTCCATTTCTTATCAACAGGACCCTAAAAGGGACTCTAGTTTAGAGAACTACCCAACTTCAGAAACCTTCAACCTAATCTCGACCCTGAGACCCTAAACAGGGAACGTCCTTTCTGGTAAACTAAACAGGACCCTAGGCCCTCGTCCTTTTGTCTTCAGGAGCATACCTTAACTTATTAACCGATCTGTCTGTTCTTGGCTAGAGGACCTATATATACGGAAATCATATTAAGGAACCTTAAAAAGGTAGTTTCATAGGGTCCAGGTAAACCCTACACCCTAAACCCACCCCTGAACCCTAAACCATAAATCCTTAAACCCTAAACCCTAAACCCTAAACCCAATACCCCTCAACTCTACGTAATTTTGGAGTTAGGGGTGCGTGGGCGCCTACCCAAACCCAAGAGGATTTAGGGCTTAGGATTTAGGGCTTAGGGTTTAAAGGGTTTAGGGTTCAGGGTTTAGGGTTTAGGATTTAGGGCTTAGGGTTCAGGGTTGAAAAATGCGTTCTCAAGACTACAATAGGGACAATCCTGCCCAAAGCCCTGAAAACCTTGAACCCCAAGCACCGGAAACCCCACAACCCGAATAAAACCTGAAACCCCTAAGCCCTAAACCCCCTAAACCCCCTAAACCCCCTAAACCCCCAAACCCCCCTAAACCCCCTAAACACCCTTA